AGGTGGCTACTCTGTATCTGGCAAAGCAGTCCATGTTTGGCACTTCTTTCAAAAATCTGTTTTTTTTTTCTCAAAACGATTTGCCGGATTTGGACTCTTTGGTTCAGACTTAAAACCGTGACTGACAAAATCGAGTCCGAGCTGTAGCGAGGTCCCCCGCGGGCTTGTTACAGTAGTGATCAAAGTACACCGGCTCATGCATTGCCTCCATAACCTGCATGACGGCATTGGTGACCTGAGGTCTGATTCCGTTGCCAGAAATCAGAATGATGGCTTTTGGAGCGCCATCTCTGGGTCAGGGCATGTACGTTACGGATCGTGATGGTGATCGAGTGCGGAGTTGTTTGAGGATGGATGTGAATCGACGAGCTATTCATGTAGAGGACTTTGATTCAATTTTTGATTGGATTTCTTGACAGAATTTGAGAGGTCTCAGAATGGAAAAGTTGAGAAAGAGAGAAAGAAAGAGAGAGAGAGAGAGAGAGAGAGAGAGAGAGAGAGAGAGAGAGAGAGAGAGAAATGAGTTTTGATTTGGTAGAGTCAAATTTCTCTGTGATATATGTGTGTAGTGTTAAAAGACTTTAGCCTCCGTTTGGGAAGTGGGTTGGCTTTTTGGCTTTTTGGCTTTTTTGGCTATTTTAGCCTGAGCTTAAAAGCTTGGTTTGGGAAGAGCTTTTGGCTTTTTGGCTTTTTTGAGTTTTTTTGTGAGAGAAGAATATAATGATTATGGGTTGGATGTGATGTTTTGTTTGTTATGGCTAAAATAGCCTATTTTGTTTTTTGTGGCTAAAATAGCCAAAAAAGCCCAAACCATGGCTTTCCAAACGAAGCCTTAGACATCACAAAGGCCCTGTTTGGTAGAGCTGTGGAAAAGTGCTTATAGCTTATGCCTAAACAGCTTATAGCTTATAACTTTCAGCTTAAGCTGATTTCCAGCTTATTCTTAAAGCATCTCCTGCCCCACTCAAAGAATAAGCTGTTTTCTGACTTCCACAAAGCTATAAGCTATAAGTTATAAGCTAAACCAAACACATCAAAATAGCTTAAATTAAGCTGAAAGCTGAAATAAGCTGAAATTAAGCTGTACCAAACAGGGCCAAAATAAAATTGTGAATCTCTTCTATTACTAAAAATGAGAGAGAGAATTTAAACTAATTTTTTCATAATTTTTTAACATTTTACGAAAATATATGCAAAAAAATATAGAGAATTTTTTTTTGATTTTTTAATATAAGTTATAAATTTTTTAATTTTTTTAAGTAACTTTTAAACTAAAAGTATTACATACCAAATGAGACCGTAGTAATAGATAAATAGGGACATTTCCGTAATCCCAAGTGTTAGGTCGCGATAAAATAGCTATATATGTAAGTTTATTATTTTTTGTAATATAAATTAATTTAAATATATAATTATTAATATTTAATAATTTTAATTTTTTATATAATTATTAAAAAATAATGAATCGAATAATCAAAATTGATCTCGAAACGCGTGCGAGAAGCGAAACCCAAACGCTTCTTCGCCATTCCTTCTCATCTTCGGTTATTTATTCTCGCCCCTATGTGTTGTTCTCTCCATCTTAATTTTAACTGGTTCTCTCTCTTACTCTCTCTAACATAAAAGAAAAAGATATGGAAAGTTTAACTCTCACCGGATTGTTAAAGAAGGTCGCCGGAGAATTTCCCTCCCGGCGAGCGATCTCAGTTTCCGGAAAGTTCGATCTGACATACGATCGCCTTCATCAACTCATCGAACATGCTGCTTCTCGCCTCCTCTCCGCCGGCGTTATGCCTGGTGATGTCGTCGCTCTCACTTTCCCCAACACCGTCGAGGTTTCAATCTTTTATTCACAATTATAAATAAAATAATAGATTCTAATAAATTGCATTAGTTTGGATCATTCATTTCTATTAAATAATGAATTAATTAATCAAGGTTTGAGGTTTTAATTTATTTTTGTTTTCCTTCATTTTCTTAGTAGCCAAACAGTTTTTTTTTTCTTTTCACTCGTTTAATTAGTGATTTTTTTTTTTAATGAATTTACAGTTCATAATCATGTTTTTGGCTGTAATTCGGGTTCGTGCCACGGCTGCGCCACTGAACTCGGCTTACACCTCGGACGAGTTCGAGTTCTACCTTTCCGACTCGGAGTCCAAACTCCTCATAACATCAAAAGAAGGAAACGAGCGGGCTCAAGCCGCGGCGTCAAAGCTCAAAATCACACACGTCACAGCCGCACTACCTCAAGCCGACTCGGAAGTCTCTCTCTCATCATCGACTCATTCCGAGTTAAACCTTGACTCGGTCTCCAAAATCATCAACCAACCCTCAGACACCGCACTCTTCCTTCACACATCCGGCACCACGAGTCGACCCAAAGGCGTGCCATTGACTCAGATCAACTTAGCTTCCTCCGTGCAAAACATCAAATCGGTATACAAACTCACTGAGTCAGACTCAACCGTCATCGTCCTCCCCCTCTTCACGTCATGGTTAAATCGCTGGGTTTACATGAGTTCACTCGTGCCGGAGCCGCAGTCACTCTCCCAGCCGCCGGAAGGTTCTCGGCTTCAACATTCTGGTCAGACATGAACAACTACAAAGCCACGTGGTACACTGCTGTTCCCACTATCCACCAGATCGTTCTAGATCGCCACTTCAGCAAACCCGAACCAGCGTACCCGAAGCTTCGGTTTATTCGAAGCTGCAGCGCGTCGCTTGCGCCAGCCATATTGAGCCGGCTTGAGGAGGCTTTTGGGGCGCCGGTATTGGAGGCTTATGCTATGACGGAGGCGACCCATCTTATGTCATCAAACCCGTTACCCGAAGATGGTCCGCACAAAGCCGGGTCGGTTGGGAAACCCGTGGGTCAGGAAATGGCTATATTAGATGAAAATGGTGTACAACAAGAGGCTGGGAAAAGTGGGGAGGTGTGTATTAGGGGACCAAATGTGACTAAAGGGTACAAGAACAACCCCGAGGCCAATAAATCGGCTTTTCGGTTCGGGTGGTTTCACACCGGTGATCTCGGGTTTTTGGACTCGGACGGATATTTGCATCTTGTTGGGCGGATTAAGGAGCTTATCAACCGTGGAGGTAATATATATAGATATATGTAGATTTTTAAAAGGAGATGAATTGTCTCTAGCTCAAATGCTGTTTGGGTTCGTAGCTTCATGAGTTTCGTTTCAATATCTTCTATTTTGTTGACTATTTTGTGAACATCATTCACAAAAAATAAATAAATAAATAAATTACTTATAATCTTTTCAATTTATCATATATTATTATCAGATTAATTTAATTTTTTTTATAAATGATATATATAATTTATCTAATAAAATTAATATTTTAAATAATTGTAACGATTTTCTTATAAATAATATATACAATTCACCTGATAAAATTAATATTTTAAATAATTAAAACGAGACTCCTAGTACAAACCCAATTCCACAGACTCCTAGTACAAACCCAAATCCACCTCCTATATATATATAATTCTCTCCTCTCCTCTTTTTTTATTTTTTTATTTTTTGTGGACTGGTTTGATTTGCTTTGGTTAGGTCAGCTTGGTAAGTTTGTTTGATGGGAAGTATTTTGGTTTTTTGGGTTTGTGTCTCATTGGCTAGCACTTGGCCAAATGTGGCGTTGATTATATCGTCAGGTTTTTTGCCTCCCACTTGTTCCTTGAAACTGACCACTTTTTTAGGCTGCCAGGCAAAAAAAAAAAGTTATTGAAAATGACTTCGCCATATTTTCCAAGTCTCCCAAATCTTTTAAGGGAATACCTTAATTATTGCTTAAATTGTATTCTATGACAAAATATTTGGTAGCTTCACACCACACCATTCACATATTTATGCATTGTGTTTTACTTTTTAAACTACTAAGCTTTAAAAAAAACAAGTTAGTACACCACATATAAACACCGTTTGGGAGATAGTTTAGGAGCTTTTTTTGGCTATTTTAGTCACAAAAGATAAAATTGGTTATTTTAGCTATAACAAATAAAACATCATATCCAACTCATAATCATTACATTTTTTTCTCACAAAAAATGTCAAAAAGTCAAAAATCCAAAAAGTCAAAAATCCAAAAAGCCCTTCCCAAATCAAGATTTTTAGCCCAGGCTAAAATAGTCAAAAAAAAACCAAAAAGCCAACTCACTTCTCAAACGACACCATATTTGTCTTTACTTATTTATCTCACAATCACAAGTATTTTGTTGTAAACTTTTTCAATTGTTGTACCAATTACCCAATTGGTGTCATGAGCCCATGTTTAGATCAAATTGTGATAGTAATAATATTAGAGGGATAAAAAAAGGAAGAAAAAAATTGCATCAAGAGAAAAGGTTGCAAAATTTTTGGGATAAAGTTATATTTTCATTTAGAAGAGAAGATGTCATCAATTTTAACATTTTGTTATCCCTACACTTATTTTCAGGAGAGAAGATCTCACCAATTGAAGTGGATGCGGTCCTTCTATCTCATCCAGACATTGCTCAAGCGGTTGCATTTGGAGTTCCTGATGACAAATATGGCGAAGAGGTAAAAAATAAAGTCCAATAATTTCATATCATCATAAGGCAATGCTTCAACAGTATATGAGTCATACAGTTACTTAAAACCACCTTGAGGACATACATAATTGTCCGTTGATATTCCATTTTGAGAAATTGCATTTCAATTCGGTAGTAAAAAATTAATTTCATTTTTATAGGACGTGCAAGTCTTTTATTCCATTTTGAGAAATTGCATTTCAATTCGGTAGTAAAAAATTAATTTCATTTTTATAGGACGTGCAAGTCTTTTTTGTATGTCGCATGAAGAAAATATTGTACCTGTAACTAGAGTTGCAAATGAATCGAACTGTTCATGAACAAATTCGGCTCGATTCGTTTAGTAAACGATCATGAACAAATTCGGCTCGATTCGTTTAGTAAACGAGCTGAGCTTGAACTTACATAAGTTCAGCCCGTTTATCTTTATTTAAATAATATAAATAATATTAAAAAAAATTATCAAGCCAAGACAAGTTCCAGTTTCATTAATATTAGCGAGTTCGAGTCCAATTCCTTATCGAGCTGAGGTTGAACTCAATAAACGAGCGGAGTTCGAACTCAGTAAAACTTGACTCGGCTCAATTCGTTTGCAGCCTTACTAATGTTATTATTTTTAAACTGTCTCATTGAAATGTTTGTTTCCATTTGGGAAGTGGTTGCATCGTGTACACGTTACATGATTTCATGATTCTATGGCCCCTACTATGATTGGATCAACTACTTAAAAAAACAATATTCATTATAAGAACAATTTTGTTCTGTTTGGAAGGGACTCGGATTCATCCAAACCTAAGCAGACCAGACCGTTTCGTGTCCGGATCATAATCCCACATTAGTCCATGCCAATGCTTTGGTCAGCCAAAACATTTTTTTTTTTTGTTGTCATCATCCTTCCAATAATTTTTGTATGTAGGGCCTTAAGCTTTATGCTGTGTTTAGTTTGAGGATTTGAGGAGGAATTTGGAAAGAGAAAGAGAAAAGATGTATGAAACTAGATGAAATGTAGATATATTTTATTAACATTTCACTTAACTTTTCTCTTTCCTTTTCCAAATTCCTCCTCAAATCGTCCAACCAAACACAGCGTCAAGGTCCTCTCTCAATCTCTCTCTCACATGTTATGCATTTATACAATTGTTAAGACCACATTTAAAACATCTCTTTCTTAACAGATAAATTGTGCTGTCATACCTAGAGAAGGATCAAACATTGATGAGGCAGAGGTGTCGAGGTTCTGCAAGACGAATCTCGCCGCTTTTAAGGTCCCTAAGATGGTGTTCATCACCGATTCTCTCCCAAAGACCGCTACTGGGAAAATCCAACGCCGCTTTGTTGCAGAGCACTTCCTTGCTCAAATCTCTACTGCTAAGGTCCCCAAGTTTGGAGCCTAAACCAACACTCTGCTTGTCTGCAATTATAAATCGTGTCGTATTAGTGATCTACCATTGAACCCAAAAGAAAAGAAAAGAAAAAAGAACGCGGCTTGGAAGAAATTCAAAGTCTCCGAAGAGGGATAGAGGAGATTTCAACATTTTCAGAAGTCCAGAAGGTTCAGTGTCATTGAATCCAAAAAAATAAAATAAAAATAAAAACATTTTGTTACACACAAACAAATTGTTTGGTTATAAAGTTGAAAGGATGGTAGAGTGAATGTTCTTTTATTTTTAGGTGCAATGTACGTCATATGTACTATCCAAAATCATCACAAGTTCAATTTTATTTTTGCCTCACTAGTTTGATTGTTTGTTTAATTTGGGATAAATTACTAATTGGTCCTAATAATTGGATTTAATTCAAATATTGATTTATTGAAAATGAGTTCTAATAAAACCGTCGTTAAAATAATTTTTTTGTGTCATTTTTTGTATACGTCATTAAAAATTGACAATTAGTGACTTTTTTTATTATGATTTTTATAAATTGTTACTAAAATTTATAATTAGCGACTTTTTTTGTGATAATTTTTAAATTGTCGTTGAAAATTAACAATTAGTAACTTTTTTAGTAGTGTTTGATAAAAAATATTATTAATTATCGTAAGATCTATTAGATAATAAATTCACTTATTAGAATCTATCACGATAATCATCCAACTTGATTTATGGGCAAATATTTGTTATTGAGTTTATTTTTGATTGATTAGTTTTGATCCTTGTAAATATTAGGTTATTTTCGAGTTTTAGAGACAATATGATAGTTAGGGGTGAGCAGCGGATATATCGATTTTGTCCAAACCGACCAAATCGATCTATCGCATTTTGGACAGATGCATAATGACAAGCGGACGATTGCGAATTGATTTTTTTCAATCCACCTAATTTTGGACGGATGACGGATTTGAAGTTCATTTGGCCGCAACCGAGCCGTCAAATCACGAGCACCCCTAGTAATTTATAAGATTTTGTGTTTTCAATTTATTTAGATATTTTGTTTATGTTTTCAATTGAAAAAGAGTTTAATATTTTGTTGAAAAAGAGTTTTCAACTTGAATATATTTTTTGAATTAAAAAAATAAATGTATTATTTTTCTATATTTTTTGATGGTTAAATCTAACTCTAAAAATAATAAATAAAAAAGATGATATATGCTTGTTAGTTTTTATTTTAAAAAATAGATATAGATGTAACAATATAGAGGCATACAATCACTACTACTGCTTTGTTCATGATTTTGGTGGCTTGAATTATTTTTATATTTTAAGAACCATATATTGTAATACTTTATGTGGATGAAACATGCTATGATTGGAATATGTGGATGAGGCATGCAATGATTGTAATATTCTAAAATTTCAAACTTTGTTTCTTTGAATGGGCCGTGCAGTGATTGTAATATTTTTTTAAGTCATTGATTATAATACTTTTTTTTTTTTTTTTGAAGGAAGGATGCAAGTTAAATTATGTTGAAAATTTATAAAATTTTAAATCGCCAGATCGATTCGCATCCATCCGTCAATCTATCAATCTGCTCTATTTACATCCGTTAGATTGGCTGACGGATGCGGATTGATTTTTTTCAATCCGTCATTCTGACAAACGGATGGTGGATTGAAAGTTTCGTGACCGCAACTGACCCAAGCCCACTCCTATTGATGGCATCTCCAAGATTTGAGATAGAATCGATTCATTGTAATCTCTACCTTCATAGCAAAATTTCTTTGGAGATGTGAGATTATTGTTGAATCACAGAAAATGCGTGCATGCGTTTAGTGTTTGTTTTTTCGATATTTCTCATATTTGCTTTGCAATAACACTAGCCATGTTAACCGTGGTAACATTGGTGGCTTTGGATGTCAAGGTCGACATGCAATTATGATTTGCATGTAAAACTGAGCAATCTACCGGACAGATTAAATTGGAGACAACCTTAAGTCTTTATATAAATTAGAAATAACAATTTTATCTCCATCTTACAATCTCACTCACTTTGTGAGTCTTTTGTTTTCCTCATTAAAAATAATAATAAAAATAAAATAAAATAAAAAGGCAGGGTAAGATTTGTGTACACATTTTGTTTTATCCACAAATTAAATACCGTTTATCTCCATATTATTCAATTTTTTAAAATGAAAATATTAAAATATTGCACTTCTTTTATTCTTCATCTCTTTTCACATCTCTCATCTTTTCTTTTTAATCTAGGGTAAATTACAATTTGCCTTTTTTATGTTCGGCTACATTTTCATTTTAGCTCTTAAAATTTATTTTTTTTCACTTTAACCCTTCATATTTCAAGTTTTTCTCATTTTATTCTTAAAGCTAACTTCTGTTCAAAATTAAACAGAAAATGACACATTAGCAGTTACGTGGTATAAAAATAATTTATTATATATAACTTGTACTTTTGATAGAAACTCAAATTTTAATATAATAATATATTTTTATTTTATGTGACAGTTATCATGATATTTTTTTTGGTCTAATTTTAAACAAAAATTAACTTTAAAAATAAACTGAAAAAACTTGAAATATGAAAGATGAAAGTAAAAAGAAAAAACAAATACTACAAAAATATATTATTTAGTGATATTAGTCCAGTGTCATTTTCTTAAAAAGTGTCCTTAAAATATTATATAATGACACTAATCATGTCTTTTTTTTATAAAAAAAGTACCATGAAAATATTATCTAATAACATGTTATAATGACATTCAGCCCATCAACATTGGCCTGGGCCACTCGAAAATCGGACAAGAAGTCACAAATCAAGTTAACTGTAGTCTCCACAGATCGGACGCTTGGTTTCGAGAGGACCATATTTCCCAACATATGGAGAAAAACGGCCCCAACGTGTCATCATCATAACAATGACATGTTAGACCATTTCCAACGCTGAACCAAACCCAGCATCAGATTTAAATTTTGATGAAAAATCCACTTTTTCACGCTCCAACGGTTGCACCAAAGTCATACCAAAATGAGAATTCAGCAAACAAGACATCAAACTGAGATCAAGAAGTGCCATAAAAATATTATGTGCATCAATATTAGATTATTCTATATCTACTATATGCAAAAAAAAATTATAAAAAAGTTATTTATTTTTATACACTTATTTTATTTTGAAACCTATTTCGTTCTGTTGTCAAATTCAAACGAAATCTTAGATTGAATGGATATCTCCCAATCTCATTACTCTAACTCTCCCCTTCCACAATCACTCGTTCTATCGTTAGATTTGAATGAGGTACTTAGATTTTTATTTTGGTTGCTGGAAAATAAAATCATTTGGAGCAAAAGTTCAACATCTCTTATTATTATGGAATGAAAGGTGTTGTTCATCTAAAATACCTAACAATTTTTGCCTAAATCTTGTTTACATGTGTTAAAATTATGAAATTGATAAGTAAATTAAATGTTTTAATCCTTCTCCTTCTTCTTTTTTTATCTTTCTATCTCAAAAACACTTAAGAATCACTTCATGAGGCATCATTACAGGTAATCTCTCTCCCCTCTCTTGTTGATTATTTTTTATGAAAGAAACTTAAAAGACAATATGTAAATGTATCCCATTTTACGTAGTTTGGGTATTTTTCAATTAACCTTTTACATGTTTGATGAAAAGTATTGCTATTAGCACCTTATCAATTATTTTGAATCTCTTATTTTTTTGAACCCTCGTTTATAAATTTTAAAACTCATAAAATTTATTTTCTCTCACCAAATAATACCAAAATTATCTTTGCAAAAATATTACACTCATTCAATTGAATGTACACCTCCACAACCCCAAAAAGCCTCTCTCCCCAAAATCCTAACAAAATCCATGAAGGTGATTATTATTTCATCTCCACATATTTGTTTATGACCTAAGAAAATAAATGTAAGTTTTTTGTTGTTGATTCAAAATTTTCTTTTTGTGGGTTCTGCGATCTCCATGAGTTTCGATTATCTGTTCCCGAACAAATAAGAAATGTTTGGTTATTTGTTCCCGAACAAATGAATAATGTTTAGGCCTGTGTTCCCGAATTTCAATCATATGTTCCGGAGTTCAGTCCCAAAAAAATGACAAACAGTTTTTATTATTTTTCTCATTTTTTTTAAGAAACTTACCCTTACAAACCTAATCTCCTCTGAGCTAAGAACATCATCAAACTTATGAACCTCGTCTGAGCTTTTATTGTTATACTCACTACAAAAAATTTCACTTTTGGAAACTAAAATTTTAGTCGCCAAAAGCCTTATTTTAGTCATCAATGACTTTTGGCGACTAATATATTTGATCGTTAGTTTGGTCGCCAATAGTTTGTCGGGAAAAACAATCGGCGACTCAATGGTTTTAGTAGCAAAATTCAATATATGGCGACTAAAATTCTTTTTTGTCGCTGAAAATAAACTTTTTGTGACCAAAATTTTGGTCACCAAAGATAAAAAATAAATTTTTATTTTCTATTCAGCGACTAAATGATTTTAGTAGTCGAAACTCAATATACGACAACTAAAATTTTTTTTTGTCTCCAATTCTGACATTTTTAGCGACTAAATTTTTTTTTAGTCCCCAATAACCAATATACCCCAACTAAAAAAAAATTAGTAGCTAAATATTTTACTTTTACTGACTAAAAAAATTTTTAGTCGCCAATTCTACAATTTTTGGAGACTAAATTTGTTTTAGTTGTCAATTTTGATCACTAAATGTGTATTTTGTTGTAGTGACTTCTCTCGTCTCATGGAATTATGGATGTCGAAAAAGTTTTCGCTCATTGTCATTGCCGGAGAAGTGTAGTTAATCAAATGGTTGTCACATCTATTACCGGAATATTGCTACCAAAGGGTTTTCACGATTTTAAGAGTGGGTAGGTTTTGAATATAGGATTTGGAGAAGATGAATGGATAATGATAGAGGTGTATGCTCTCATAAACCCTAACTTAAGTAGTGGGTGTATGGGCTTAATTGTGAGATGGGGTGTTCTAAAATTATTAATATTATTTTTAATAATTTCATTTGAGGTTATTCTTGTAATAAAATAAAATAAAAAACTAAAATATGAGAGATTCAAAATAATTGATGGAGTGCTAATAGCAACACTCTTGATGAAAGGCCTCAAAAGGGTGTAGACATATGTAGCTGTTTTCTTTTCTTTTCTTTTTCATTTGACATGTGTGTGCAACTTGTTAATTTTACTAAAATTGGCAGACAATGAAATTATTGGAGGATAAACTATGCAACAACGTACAATTACAAAAATGAAAGCACAAACGGGTGTATCCTATTCTGTATTTTGAATATGTACACCTATTATATCTGCTA